CAAAAAGTGGTAGATTCATGCGACTTTTACGTTAAGAAAGCAACTTTCCCAAAATTCTTGTAACTTTCGATTACCCCAGGTAGAAGCAACTTAAAGAGAAGCAACAAAACAGAAGTGGCCAATCTTCACTCACTCTCACCCCATTCAATAACCACACCCACCCACGTGCACCTATTTCTATTTTCATCACTAGCCCTACCTACGCTACGTATCTCTTGAACTTACCACCAAAATTTTAATGATACACTTTTTCATATACATTTCCTTACTCTCACTTCTTCCACATAAACTATACTTTCACAAGATAATTTTATTTTATATCTTTATTTTAAAATTTCAAATAATTTAATTATTACAGTTTTAATTAGGCTATTTTTTCATATTTAATTTAGTTTTTTATTGTTAAAAAAATCATTTGATCATTTAATTCTTAAAATTAATGCAATATTGTCCTTTTCTCACAATTAAAAACTACATTTATTGCTTATCCATACCTTTTATTAGTGACAGGTCCAGAAAACTTGGAATCTTGGACAATATCTCTTTCGTTTTTTATTCATAGTCATTTTATCATAATTTATCATTTTTTTTTCATTATCATTTTACTAAAATCAATGACTTATTATTTTTTTTAATCCTTGATAATTAATGTATGTTTACTGAACAATGTGTCTATTTATTTCTAATGTCTACCTATTTTTTCTCCAATCACTTATGTGAATTTAATGTTGCATTTAAAACGATAATATGTTTCCAACGAAGTACTATAAAAAATATAGGGTAAAATAGAAAAGTAAGTAATAAATATTTTAAAAACTAAAATATCAGCTATTTTCTTAAATTTCGTGCAAAATCTTAAACAACTATGAATAAAAAACAGAGGAAGTATTTATATAAATTTATAATATTAAAATTTTAATATACTATTTTCAAAATTTTAATATATGTCTTAATTACTTTCTATAATATTTCACACTATAAAAATAATCAATGATTTTTTTCATTTTTAATAATAGTGAAAAATCTCTTTACATAAATAATTAAAAAAATAAACTATTCATCTCTCATTTTTATTTTTTATATCAATTTTTGTTGATATTTAAGATAATACATGTAAGTGAAAAAAATGAATGCACATATCATAATAGATAAAAATACGCACACTCTGAACTGCAACTTTAGTATAATAAGCTTTGAAATATATGATTATTCTTTCAATATCAACACCATATAACAAGAAAAAATAGGATAGAAAAACATTATAAAAAATAAGTTGTTTGGAGATAAAGAATTAGATGCACAAGGAAGTTTTAAAATTATTGTTCTTTCTTAAAAATATTAAAGCAAATAGAATCCTTTAAAACAAAATAATATTATATATATATATATATTATTTATTAAAACAAGTTTTTTAAATAAAAAAAAAAAGTAGTGAGGAGAGCTGCCCCACATGGTACAAGGTGAATCCGAGCTCTTTATACACTTTTTTTTTTATGTACATTTTCTCTATAGTTATTGTCTCAAGTATATACTTACCGCTTATATACTTGCTGCAATAACAACATGACATATATTTATTTTGTGAACATATGGGTAATATCGTTCTCAATTAAAGGGAAATGGTAACATCTTTTTTTTTTTAAAAAAAAAAAATAAGAGACTAAGTTTAGCTTTTTAATAATAAAAAATAAATTAATCCAATTAAATAAAAATAATTTAATTTTTTACCTCTACTTTTATGATGATTACAATAGTTAATTACTTTATATGACAATAATAATAATAATAATTATTATTATTATTATTATTATTAATTACATCAAGAAATTAAAAATAATTTAACGTAACAAAACTATGAATCCTTAAATTTATAATTTACAAAATTTTGTCAAAATATTATTATTTGATTTTTAAGAATAGTGAATAAATATAATGTTAATAAAAAACAAAAAGTGCTTTATTTTTTAATTAGTAATTTTTTATTCATAATTTTGTATTTTGATGGTGAAAAAATACATTTACGAATCGAGTGAGTTTATTGTCATAAACGTTTATCATTTAACAAGAACAAGTACACTGGCGAGAAAAATGATAATTAATATAAGAAATTTATCAAAATATTGTTAAATACTCAAACTCACTTTTTTAATATATATATATATATATATAGGGGAATGTTAATGTTTTCTTAACTATTTTTTAGTGGGAGTATGTTAACAACTTACAATAAAATTTTATGACAAAAAAACTACTCATTTCTTTTGATTTGGTTAATTCGTACAAAGAATATTATAGTAATTTAATTTAATTTTAAATAAAAAAAATATTTTTTCTCTTTTGAATTGGAAAATGAAATTAATAAGAGAGAGAAAATATTTTATTTTCATTTAAAGTTAAATTAAATTATTATAATATCTTTTGTACGAATTAACCAAATAAAAAAAATGAGTGGTTTTTTTATCATAAAATTTTGGCATAAGTTGCTAACATACTCCCACTAAAAAATAGGTGGGAAGATATTAGCATTCTTTATTTATATATATATATATTAGACTTTCTCCTTTATTCAATTTATTTTATTTTATTTTATGTTCTATGCATTTTAAGTGATATCAATTAGTTTTTTACACCATCTAACAACTGTTATTCCGATCCTATAATTGTTTTTGTCAAAAATATTAAATGAGAATATTTGGACTTAATATATTAATATTAAATATTTTTAAAAAGTATAAAAACTTTAAACATAAAATAATACAAACCAAAGAGAATAATAGATTGAATCTTGTAAAGCCGACCAAATTAATTTAAAATTTAAATATTATAATACAGTAAATTTCAATTCTTAATTTTTTAAAGGATAATTTCAGCTTTTAGTTAAGAAATATAGAAACAATTTTAATACATTACTGTGTTATATGCTTGTATTTTTTCCAGCTGACTTTGTGTTTACCTGTTTGTTTGAAGTTATAAAACATTGGTTTTGACTATTGTTAAGCCACTATGTCACACAAAACGGTCAAATGACATGATTGCTATAACAACACTTTACGAAGGTAGCCTGCTTCATTTTTCATAATAATTAAATCACGGGAAAAGTGTGGATCAAAGTAGTGTCTATGCGATAACATAATTAACATCTCAATAACTCCAAATAGAGACGTGTCCAAGTAAGACTTAGTCAAAAGTCACCCACCTTGACCAATACATACATACCCCATTTCTGTAATTCATTCAATTTCACGAACCTTTTCATTGTTTTGGGTAAAAAAAATTACCAACTCTTAAACTCTGTCTTACATAATTATAAATAAGATAAACAAAAAATATATAAATAAAATAATTTATATTTTATAAATATTTTTGTAAGATTAACTTTGTTTTAAACTCGTTTTTTAAGAGTTGTTATAAATCTTCTAAAAGGATAATCTATCATTTTTATACACATTAAATCTAATAGTGTGAAGCATAAAAAAATATATTAAGAAAAATTTAAAATTTATCTATCTTAAATTATTAAAAAGATCGCTTAACATTTATGCATATAACAAATCTAATTATGTTAGACGTGAGATATATATATAAATAAAAAAAAACCTGAGTCTCATAAACTGAAGTAATAAGGTGAATAAAAAAAATATAATTAAAAACATAACAAAAAGAATGAAACATAGAAATATAAAATGTAAAAGTTTATGCTCACGAATAATTTAGTAATGCTCAGGATATAAAACTTCCAAACGGTGTAAGATCTCAAATTTTGTTTATGATTGACATGTATAGCTGAGTAACTTTTCAAGAAAATGAAATAAGTATGTTACTATAAAAAGAGATAGTAATGCTATTAATATTACATATAATTATTACTGATCTCGTAATAAATATATTATATATTTATTATCGTGTTCGAAGCGATAAAGATATGCTTAAAATTACGATAAAAGACAATAATAACATTTCTTTAAAATTTTCTATATAATTTAAAGATACTTGTTAACATTTCTTAAACAATATTAAATTTTGTTGTCTAACTTATCTAAAATAAAATAGAACACGATGACATATTTTATAATTAAATAAAATATACGACAACTTGCATTATCATCTAATTTTCTAATTATGAATTATTACATATGATAAGCTTGTTAGTTTTATAATAATTACCTAAATTATTTTGTTTATTTTAATAGGAATAGAGTATATAAAAATATAAATAAATAGAAATGTAAGATAGAAATATTATGTTAGAGAAGAGAATAAGAAAGGGATAAATTATTTTATTAGAACCTACTAGAAATACTTTTCCTCTAAATTTGAATAAAATAGTCAGAAAATGATCTTTTTTCTGTAATTTTTATAATATATATTCTTTTAAAAATTCAATAAATATTTCTATTTAAAAATAATAGATTAAAAATTACATTTGTAATTAGCATAAACATTTTTTTTAACAATTTATTTATTCCTTTCTGCTCGTCAATATAAGAGTATACAAGTTTTTCTATTTCTTGCTTTCTCCTTTCTTTTCATTTTCTTTCCTAAACATATCCTAAAAGACTTTGTCAATTTTGTTTTTAGCTTCTTATCAAATACAAATGAAATGGCGAAGCCAACTTTAACTGACATCAGCCAAGTGTTTTAAGTACACAAGAAATCAATGGTTATGCAGCTGACCGGAAGAATTTCCATTGCAGAGTAGAAGGTGAAAAGGAAAGACACAAAAAAAACATAAAGTCTTCAAGAACACATGAATACTCAGAACAGAAAGCCAATGAGACATGTCAGAATTTAACGAGACCAATTCTCATGCAGACCGAATATTATACTGTTTCAATAATTCTTATTCAAAGATTCATCCTTTAGCTAAGCTAAACCGCGTCGATACAGACTCATCTTTCTTGTCAAAGTAACTACTGAGATTATTTAAGAAATAAATACTTCTAAAGGGAGATTCACTAAACCTATGTTTGTCCTTCCAAAATATTATCCCAAGAGACATGTCACTTGCAAACGGTGCCTTCGATGCGTGTATATATATTACTATATCCCTAGTCATGTTCAAGAACTTCAATATTTAACTTGTACATGCAGGAAATCAATAATCCATTAGAAAATCAACAGTCACCTATATTGAAACGTCAATTAAGTCTAACACCAAAAACAGTTGTAACATCTTAGGTGCTTGTACTCATCACTGCTACAAAATATCACCAAAATAAATTGTTGGCCATGTTTATTTGGAAACTGCATGTCTGACTCCGCATTTTTTCCAATGAATGTCCTTTTGTCGAATATAACATATTTGCTTTGCTTCATTGATCATTTCCAACAGGTTCTTTGTTTCCCAAACTTGTTGGAACTATTTTACATATGGGCATGTTTTCATTCTTACTAAGAAGCTTCAAGGATGGATGAACCTCCATGTCACGCATGAAAATCCTATCTTCAATATCTAGATTGCTCACATCCACAACAATTTTAGAAGGAATGTGCTCAGATGGACAAAGATATTTAAGACTAGGTCTGATCTTATTCAAAAATCCTCCTGTAATGGCATAAAAGTTTCAACAAATATTAGCATTAGAACCACAAAAATTCCTGCT